GTAGTCCGTGTCGCAATTAATCTGCACTGCAATTTTAATAAAGCCAAAACAACTCTGACTCATAACAAGCAGCATTTTCACCATTTGTTCTCCCTTAAATTTGTCACTTAAATACAATTAAAGAAACAGACTTTCTGTATTATGGGTGTCTATTAACGATGCAAGAGGCAGGCAGCCAATCCAAAGGTATTACAGCAGTAATTTCACCATATGGAGGCTGTTATTGAACTTGTCTAAACCAAGTAGCAAAATCCAAGTCAAAGAAAACTGTAGTTAATTATCTTATTGTTGTGCTATATAATAAAATGAATTACCTAGCTGGGGTCTTGTACATTTGAAAGTTGTTTGACTGCATCTTTTTAGCACCATTAGCACTTAAGAATTAAAGTTCATGATGCTCACACAGGACTTGAACTCTAAAATTCGTGATAACAAGTAGAGTGCTGGCAGTGATTTTGTACTTGTTTACTTTAATGTTTTACTCCACGTTTTGTTTATGTGCTGCTCTGTGGGTGCAGATACTGCAGTTTTCTCTAAACAGATTAATCCTGGTTCAGTTGGTTAGGCTCATTTTGAGTCAGGCTTTTCTGATCTGCCTTTATGAAACACCCCGCAGATATACGGTATGTTAAAAGAATATATTTTGATATGTGTCTCTACGAGCCAAAGTTGAAGACAAATAAGGCAGGTCAAGCTGGTCTTGACTGTAGGTTCAAGAATATCACAATAGCACCATATCAAACTAACGTAAAACATACTTCATGCATCTGTAGATATATATACTGTGTATATATATATATATATATATGTTGATGGATAGATATGAAATTTAGGGTTCAATACACAAGTGTTGGATATATTTCAAGTTCACAGAAATAACTACTGCCACAGTCCAGTCGAGAATACGACGTGGCGTCTCACGACTGCTCGTATGTCATCCATTTAAAAATCTCAACAGTCAAACCCTTCACAGTGCATAGAGCATTTAGTTTGCATGCCTGCAATTACACTTGGTGTGTGTGTGTGTGTGCACTATACAGCACTGCAAGTCTTTACACCGCATTTACAAAGCTTTTTAAAGCCCGTTAAACTCACTCTGGTTGTATAAGTAGCGTTCAGAGCTCCAAATTCAAACAGCACAGTATTTCAGTTCACAACCATTGTATAAGGCAGATGAATAAAAGTACTCCTCGGTACTCTTGAGTCTCCCCGTGTTCATTACAGGCCTTCTTCATATTGTACATGGCTCTATCAAAGCATGCCGTACTAAAGCAAACGCTGCAGCGAAAAGCATGAAAAGAAAAGTTTTACAAACATTCTTTGGTTGAATGTGAAAGGAGCATTCCTGTGCTTTAATTTAATTGCTCTGAATTTGGCATTTGTTAAAAAGAACACAAAGAAAAAAACAAACTGGACCTTTGCAAAGATACACTGGCTTAAATACAGGCAAAGAGTGATGGCTCCAACCTAAACTACAATATTCATGTTAATTCTCGCAAAATAATATAAAAAATTCTGGTGATTAAAAAGCTCGCTTTGACTGATTGTACACAAATACTACTTTCTCTTTCCAGGTTACCAAGGCAACACCCCCCCCCCGCCCCCAAATGGCCTTCCCATCCCCTTTCACTTCTTCTTGGCAAAGCGACTGAACTTCTTCTCCTTGTCTTTCTTGGCAGAGCTGGGTTCAGAGAGGGCAGTTGAGGAGGAGGGTGGAGGCAGGCTGTGGGCTTTGGCCCCTGAGGGCCCCGACGCCTCCTCTGCTGCCAGGGGCTGAACGGCCTTCTCCATGGCCTGGCTCCAACGCTGGAGCTCCTCCTAAAATTAAACACACACACACCACAGAGGTTTAAAAAGGGAAGTCCACCTCCAGAGGGGCAGTGTGTGTTTTGTGTCTGCTGCTATATTTGAGTGAATCAAAGAGTGGAGGTGATTCACGCTTTTAGCTCTCAGCAGTGACGCTGTAAATGTGTTTGTGAGGCTAAATCGGGGCGATCTAGACGAAGACAACCTCACTGAGAATTATTTTAGCTTAGACAAGCTGAAACATCTTCTAAAATAAAATGTAAATATGTTTGTTCTATATGCAGCATTACACCCCGTGACTGCTGCTTTACAGTACAGAAGGTCGAAGGTCAGATAATTACTTGCCAAGTCCAGAACATTAAGTCCGGTGATTGGTGTAAATCAGGAAAAGTTCTACACAAACTCACCTCGTCTTTACACTGGAACAAATATTCACTGCCGTCTCCGAGTCTGAGAGAGAGAAAAGAAAGTTAAGTTAAAATATATTATGCAGACAAGCACAAAAAGAACAAGTGGTTGTTTTAAACTTCTGTTCTGAGACGAAGTTTCCCTAAAATAGATTTTTCTAAGAAACAAAGCTCTAACTCTCAGGTTTTATGGTGGGTTATATGTGGTGTTATTTCTTAGCCATGAGCAGTGACTTCCTGGAGTCATCGCCGGTTGCTTAGAGAGTCCACAGCGATGATAAAATTCTAGGAAGTTGCTGCACTTGGCAAATAATGATAATAAAATTTGCATATTATCTAATTCTTGGTTAAAAAAAAAAAAAAAAAAAAAGCAAATAAGTGGCCAAACAGGACGTCTCACCGTAGTTTGCAGACGTGCTTCTTTTTCTTGTAGTTGGTAAGGATCTCCCAGCTGGCGTTACTGAGGGACAAGGGGTCCTCGCCGTGATACGTCACCCCGTGGCCAAAACTCTTGGCGTCCTTGTAGACTGAGAGCTGGCCTGGCTTCAGCACACAGTAGAGGTTGTTCCATGACCTGAGAGGAAGAGGAGGGGTAGGAAGTAGAGAGATATTGATTGTCAGGTAGAAAATTTCCGCCAATAATGTAAAAATGTATTGAATTAAATCCCAATTATGAGAGCCACAACAACATCACCGCTCCTTTAAGGCTTAATTCAGTTAATTAGAAATCAGGAGAGCAGTCGGAGCAGCTCACTGCTTTCTGACAACTGTAGGTAGTTTAATATCAAAAACACATCCAGATCCTCCATCAGGGTGATGAGGTCAAAGAAACATTTTGGGGCTTTTTGTGTATTAATAAATTAAATAATAGCAGCTGGCATTTTTAAGTTAAAACACAGATGCTCCACACCATGGGTTTTCTCCGGGTACTCTAGCTTCCTCCCACAGTCCAAAGACATGCAGGTTAACTGGTGACTCTAAATTGTCCGTAGGTGTGAATGGTTGTCTGTCTCTGTGTGTCAGCCCTGTGATAGTCTGGTGACCTGTCCAGGGTGTACCCTGCCCCTTGGCCAACGTCAGCTGGGATAGGCTCCAGTCCTCCCCACGACCCCAGCAGGGTAAGTGTGAAAAATGTCATAGTTTAGTATATCATAAAATTTCAGGGGGAAAAAATGTCATAGTTTAACACATGAAGAAAAAAAAAAAACTCAATAAAAAGTCATAGTTTAGTATATTTAAAAAAAAAAAACTCAATTAAAATGTCATAGTAAAATATATATATATTTTTTAAAAACTTGATAAAAATGTCATAGTTTAGTATATCATAAAATTTCACAAAAATGTCAGTATATTTTTAAAAAAAACTACATAAAAATGTCATAGTATAGTATATTAAAAAAAACTCGATAAAAATGTCATAGTATAACATTTTTTAAAAAATGACATAAAAATGTCATAATTTAGTAAATCATAAAATTTCATTAAAAATGTCTGTTTAGTATTTTAAAAAAAACCTCGATAAAAATGCCATTGTATATCATATCATGAAATTTCATTAAAAAATGTCTTGGTATAGAATTTTTTTTTTTTTTCAAAAACGCAGTAAAAATGTGATAGTATAACATATTTTTTTTTTAAAAAATAACATAAAAATGTCATAATTTAGTAAATCATAAAATTTCATTAAAATCATAGTTTAGTATATAAAAAAAAACTCCATAAAAATGTCATAGTTTAGTATAAAAAAAAAAACTCGATAAAAATGCCATTGTATATCATATCATGAAATTTCATTAAAAATGTCTTGGTATAGAATTTTTATTTTTTATGTATTTATTTTTTCAAAAACTCAGTAAAAATGCCATAGTTTCGTATATCATAAAATTTCATTTAAAAAAACACTACAGAAAAATGTCAAAGTTTAGTTTATGATAAAATTTCATTAAAAAAAGTCATAGTAGAGTATATTAAAAAAAAAACCCTCGATCAAAATGTCATAGTATAGTATATCATAACACTTCATTAAAAAAATGTCATAGTCCACCTTCAATCCATGAAAGAAGGTAAGCAAATTTTCAAGTGTGCTATTACACAGAAATGAATGTATAGAATGGGTAGTGGAGTGACGTAAAGACTGTATTGCAGATGATAAATGGGCTAAACATTTGTTTTTTTTCCCGTTATCTACCTATTTGATGCCTTCTTCCCTGAGCCTTCCACGTCATGTTTGCGGCCCAGCGTTCCCTCCTGCAGCACAGTCTGGGCTCTGACGGTCTCAACGGGCATGGTAGCGGCTCTCTCTGGTTCTTTAGGGGTCACTACTGACACAGAAGGTTCCAGCTCCAGAGAACCGCTCTCTCTCATTTCTGACACTATGGGCACCGTGGAGTCACCGGCTGTCTCCTCCAGCAGACCTGAACTGGGCTCCACTGCACCAGAAGCAGACTGGGGGAGAAAAAATAGAGACAAAGATAAAAAAGAGACAGTGGTAAAAAATATTGATAGATCTACAAATCAACCTGCATAGCTGGAGAGGTTAGCAGAGCAGAATGTACCCTTAATGTATGCATATATGATTAGTTTTATAAGTGTCAATTGTAGTCAAATGTAGTTTGTTTTGAGTAAGTATAGAAAGGAGCTTTTTAAATGCAGGAGTTAGTAAGAAAATACTTTTTAAGAACTTGGGTTTGCTGTTACAGGGTTCACAACATGATACAGCAGAGCGGACAGGAGCTCAGTAAGTGTAGTTACTAACCAGAGTCTGTTCCTCAACAGTGCCGAGCTGCGAAGATTCTTCCACAAAACCCGTGTCTTCTCTCCTGGAGGAAAGAGGGCAGCATGGGGTCTACATGAGAGACTTTTAAGAGCAGCGGGTGAAGAACAATGTGTGTAGAGACAGAGAGACAGTGTGCTTTCAAGTAAGTTTAAAGGGTATGGCTCAGAATATTCAGGGTTTTTTTTGTTATTGTCACCAAATCCTATGAAAGGAATACATTGCAGTTGTCTGTCTCTAAAACTTTCTGACTTTAAGCCTGTCTGTGTAAAAAATAGCTAAATAATTTCTAGATGAGTCCTGTAGTTTTTTGGCAACATTACCCAAACGTAAGTCAAAGTGTTTTTGTTGGGGACTTTTTTAGTTGTCATTGTTGCACTGCTGATAATTTACTTATAGTATAGCAGACAGTGTATGTGGGATGGACTCAACGTGAACTACAGTGCCCATGTCCGTTATAACGCAGGAACCAAGTGTGACACCATGTTTTCAAAGGATTTGTTGACTGTAAGAAAATATAGAACAGCACCAGACTTATCCTTTAAAAGGAATTCTGTGATGATTGTCTATTTGTATGTATGTCTGTGCTTATAGGTGCAACAGTGCACGCACAGCGTGGTTTCTCAAAGTGCAGCCCAAAGGCCAATGTCTGCCCTCGTGACATGAAATGTATGCATTAGATTTTAATCATCCATGACCCATTTCAATACTCGTAAGAGCTTACATTTAATACACTATTTGGCTACTGTGCCCCCTAAAAAGTGTTTGTCAGGTTAGGTATAGTATACCCTCTTAAAACATAAGTATAATAAGTATTATGATATTGAATACAAATATGACAAAAAAAAAGTCAAATTGTAGTGTGTCATAACAAATGTCATAAAAAAGTATGCCATAAAAATGTTATTTAAAAAGAGTTATAAAAAGTCATAGTAGTGAGTCACATTAGTGTTTGCCAACAGATTTTGATGATAAAGTCAGTATGTCATCATGTATTTTTTTTTTAAATCATTAAACAGAATACAAGAGTATGCAAGAAAAATATGATTGACATTTTTATGACATACAGTACAATTTCTACAGATTTTTTTAAGGCACACTTTACTGTGACTTTTTTCAGAGTATAAACAACATGGTTTTTTAAGTCAGAGAACACTACCAGAAAAGTGTCAAAGAAATCATAGTATAGTATATTGTAAAAATGATATTAAAAAAAAGTTGCACTATATTGAGCAATAAAAAAATTAAACAAAACACCATATTAAAGTATGTCATGAAAGAGTAATAATATAAGAAAGGCATAGTATAGCATGTCATGAAAAAATCATTATATAGTATAGCATAAAAATGATTTGAATACATCATGATTGATGAAAAAATGTCATAGTATAGTACGTCCCCCAAAACCATGAAAAAACGTCATGGTATAGTATGTCGTCAAAAACCATGAAAAAAAGTCATAGTATAGTACGTCCCCCAAAACCATGAAAAAAAGTCATAGTATACTATGTCGTCCAAAAGCATGAAACAAAGTCATAGTATAGTATGTCGTGAAAAAACATGAAAAAAAGTCACGGTATAATATGTCATAAAAAAAAGTCACAGCATAGTATATTATGTCGTCAAACAATCATGAAAAAAGTAATAGTACAGTATGTCGTCAAAATCTATGAAAAAATGTCATGGTATAGTATGTCGTCCAAAATCATGAAAAAAAGTCACGGTATAATATGTCATAAAAAAAAGTCACAGCATAGTATATTATGTCGTCAAACAATCATGAAAAAAGTAATAGTATAGTGTGTCGTCAAAATCTCTGAAAAAATGTCATACTATAGTGCGTCCCCCAAAACCATGAAAAAATGTCATACTTTAGTGTGTCGTCAAAAATCATGAACAAATGTCATAGTATAGTGCGTCCCCCAAAATCATAAAAAAAAGTCATACTTTAGTGTGTCGTCAAAAATCATGAAAAAACGTCATAGTATGTCGTCAAAAATCATGAAAAAAACGTCATAGTATAGTATGTTGTGAAAAACCATGAAGAAAAGTCACAGTATAGTATCTCATAAAAAAACTCATAGTATAGTATGTCGTCAAACAAACATGAAAAAAAGTAATAGTATAGTGTGTCGTCAAAATCTATGAAAAAATGTCATACTTTAGTGTGTCGTCAAAAATCATGAAAAAACGTCATAGTATAGTATATCATCAAACAACCATGAAGAAAAGTCATAGTATAGTATATTGTCCAGAATCATGAAAAAACATCATAGTATAGTATGTCATCCAAAATCATGAAAAAAGTCATAGTATAGTACCTCCCCCAAAACCATGAAAAAAAGTCATAGTATAGTATGTCGTCCAAAATCATGAAAAAATGTCGTAGTATAGTATGTCATCCAAAATCATGAAAAAAGTCATAGTATAGTACTTCCCCCAAAACCATGAAAAAAAGTCACAGTATAGTATGTAATCAAATAACCATGAAAAAAAGTAATAGTACGGTGTCTCGTCAAAATCTATGAAAAACTGTCATGGTATAGTGTGTCGTCAAAATCTATAAAAAATGTCATGGTATATAGCATGTCGTCAAAAATCATGAAAAATACGTCATGGTATAGTACGTCCCCAAAACCATGAAAAAATGTCATAGTATAGTATGTCGTCCAAAATCATGAAAAAAAGTCATGGTATAGTATGTCGTGAAAAACCATGAAAAAAAGTCACAGTATAATATGTCATAAAAAAGTCATAGTATAGTATGTCGTCCAAAATCATGAAAAAAAGTCAAAGTTTAGTATGTTGTCCAAAATCATGAAAAAAAGTCATGGTATAGTATGTTGTGAAAAACCATGAAAAAAAGTCACAGTATAATATGTCATAAAAAAAGTCATAGTATAGTATGTCATCAAACAACCATGAAAAAAGTAATAGTACAGTGTCTCGTCAAAATCTATGAAAAAATGTCATGGTATATAGTATGTCGTCCAAAATCATGAAAAATACATCATGGTATAGTATATCGTCAAAAATCACGAAAAAACGTCATGGTATAGTACATCCCCAAAACCATGAAAAAATGTCATAGTGTAGTATGTTGTCAAAAACCATGCAAAAAAGTCATAGTATAGTATAGTATGTCGTCCAAAACCATGAAAAAATGTCATAGTATAGTACGTTGTCCAAAATCATAAAAAAAAAGTCTTAGTATAGTACAGTGTGTCGTCAAAATCTATGAAAAAATGTCATGGTATAGTATGTCGTCCAAAATCATGGAAAAAAGTAATAGTATAGTGTTATGACTGTGGTCATTTACTTGGTTGTTTATGTTGTCTGTACTGACAGCTCTCTCTCTCCTCCCCTATTCTGCAGTAGCAATCAGCCTGTCTGTGTGTGTGCGATGAGCTGCAGGAGGTGTGATTCCCCAGTCAACCACGTGATCGGGTTGCTGCCGCTGACTGGCTGACTGCTCAGTTTTAAACTCTACCTGACGCCGGCCTTCGGCCTCTCACTTTCCCCATTCCCAACATGACAGCAGCCGGTAGTATTCTGTGTATGATCTTGTGTGTGCTGCAGTAGCATTTTTGATTTAGAGCATCTGCCTGCAGAAGCTGTTACCTTGAACTTTAGTTTGTGTGTTAAAGCTACCTGTGACTGTGATTAGAACAGCTTATTGTAAGCATTGTAATATTGTAAATAATCTTGCTCAATTCAGTAGCAACCTTAAAGTAGGAGGGAGAAGCCATTTTTGTTGATCCCTTTTTCTCCTGTTTATTTCAGTTGGGAGGTAGGTTAGTTTGATTGTCTTTTGTTTCCACATTTATTTTCTGACAGGTAAGGTAGGGATCTGGACTTAGTTGTTTTGTTTGTTATTTTTGGCATTGCTCCTCTCTGAAGTTATAAAAATAAAACTGCTACTTTGAACTTTTTACATGGAAGTTGGCTGACCTTCTTGGGAGTGGGAAGAGCGGGGGCACTTTATCATGTGTGGCCCAGGTGCCCCTAGGCCTGGGTCATAACAGGATTTGGGGGCTCGTCCAGGATTTCTTGTGTTCGTCGTCGTTCCGGGTAAGTTTGGTGAGTATTTGTCTTTTTGTCTCTGCTTGTCTGGCTGGCAGCCTTTTCTTTTGTGGGGGTGGCAATATGGAGTTTAAATTGGAGGATTTCACCATTGATCCGACTGTGGCAAAATTGGAAAGGTGTAGGAAAGCTGATCTGGTTCTGATTGCAAATTTTTTTGATGTGCATGTGCCTTTGAATATTAAGAAGCAGGAGCTAAAGGAGCTAGTCTTTAGGGGGCTCAGTGAAAGGGGTTTGTTTGGTGAGCCAGCTCCTGAAGTTTGAGCTGAGGGTGAAGCTGGTGTTCCGACCCCACTCCACAACTTCCCTATGCAAAACATGAATGCAGAGGAGCTCAAATTAACTCTGCGTATCAGGGAGGTGGAGGTGAGAAACCGTGAGTTGGAGGTGGAAGCCATGCACTTAAGGTTAAGGGCTCTGGAGCTAGAGATGGGAGCACCTGTAGCTACCAGGCCCGCCGCAGCCTCTCAGTCACCCTTACCTAAACCCCGAGCTCGAGACAGCTTCGATGTGAGTAAGCACATTGCACTAGTTCCACCGTTCAGAGAGTCTGAGGTTGATTCTTACTTTAATGCATTTGAGCGTATAACAGCTACTCTGAACTGGCCAAAAAATGTGTGGCCTCTCCTGCTTCAGTGTAAACTGGTAGGTAAGGCTCAGGAAGTTTGTACATCTCTGTCCATGGAAGACAGCTTGAATTATGATATTGTGAAAGCCACCGTTCTCCGTGCTTATGAGCTAGTGCCTGAAGCATATAGACAAAAATTTAGAAAATGTGAAAAGACTGCCACCCAGACATATGTAGAGTTTGCGAGAGAGAAAGGCGCGCTTTTTGACAAGTGGTGCCAGGCCAGCAAAGTTAAAACCATGGATGACCTTCGTGAACTCCTTCTGCTGGAGGAATTTAAAAACTGCCTCCCAGAGCGTGTTGTAGTTTATTTAAACGAACAAAAAGTCTCCTCCATTACTGCTGCTGCCGTACTGGCCGATGAATTTGCTTTGACGCACAAAAGTGTCTTTTCTCCTCCAATTCGGCGGGATCCAGTTCCCAGCGGGAGAGTTAGATCTCCCAAAAGTGTTCGTCGTAACCCCACTGCTGCGTCAGAACATAGAGAATGTTTCTATTGTCATGAGCCAGGACACCTTATCGCCGCCTGTCCCACTCTTAAAAAGAAAGAGCAGTCCAAAGCCACCAAAACTCCATCGCCTGTTGGTCTGATTCAAACTACATCCACATCTATTCATCCTGTGCCCTCAGTCGAGTGTAATGATATAGATGAGGTTTTTCGGCCATTTGTGTCACAGGGCTCTGTTTCTTTGGTGGGTGAGACAGATAGCGTCCCAATTACTATCCTGCGAGATAGCGGCGCTAAACAAACAATTATTCGTGAAGGTGTCCTGCCCTTTTCGGCTGATTCGTATTGCGGTTCAGATATTCTGGTGTGGGGAGTAAAAATGACTGCCGTGCTTGCGCCTCTGCATTTTGTTCAGCTGGTCTCCAGAATTGCGTCGGGCAAATTCGAAATTGCTGTGAGGCCCCAGCTGCCTATTGCCGGCATTGATTTAATTCTTGGTAATGATGTGGCTGGCGGAAAAGTTTTCCCTTCCCCAGCAGTGACTGACGACCCGTCCTCCACAGTTTGCATCTTGCCCACTGCGCTAAACTCACCCCCTTTGTTTCCTGTGTGTGCCGTCACTCGTGCTCAGGCACGAAAATATGCTGAGTGTGTGGATTTAAGTGACTCTTTCCTGAGTAATTCTGTTCAGACAAGCACAGCCCCAGAAAATAGCATTGTGGAATGTAATGTGTCCGTTGGGCTTTGCCCTGATGATGAGAGTTTAAAAATGTCAGTGGACAGGGAACACCTGATTAGAGAGCAGCAAACTGACCCCACTTTGACATCTTGTTTTTCTCATGTATATCAGCAAACCCCTGATAAGTCTGTGTCTTACCTTCTGGATGATGGTGTTCTGATGCGCTGTTGGTCTCCGAGTTTTACGCATGTGTCCGTGCGTCAGATTGTAGTGCCGCAGCTTCTCCGTTCACAGGTCCTGACTCTGGCTCATGATCATTGTCTGTCGGGACACTTAGGTATCAGAAAAACCTATAAGCGTATCCTCCGTTATTTTTTCTGGCCCGGACTAAAGTCCGATGTGGTGAAGTTCTGTCGTTCGTGCCACACCTGCCAAGTTTCTGGTAAGCCAAACCAAAAAATTCCTGCTGCTCCATTACATCCCATTCCTGTAGTTGGTGAACCATTTGAGCACATTATTGTCGATTGCGTTGGCCCATTACCAAAAACAAAGTCTGGCCACCAGTACATCCTCACGGTGATGTGTGCAGCCACACGCTATCCGGAGGCTATTCCGTTGCGCACATTAAAAGACCGTGCCATTGTAAAAGCACTTGTCAAGTTCTTTTCCACATTTGGCCTTCCAAAACGCATCCAAAGCGACCAAGGCTCAAATTTCATGTCCAGGATTTTCGCCCAGGTAATGTCAGAGCTCAGAGTTAAACACCACACATCCAGCGCTTATCACCCAGAAAGTCAAGGTGCATTAGAAATGTTTCACCAAACACTTAAAAGCCTGCTTCGCAAATTCTGCACCGAGTCGAACCGTGAGTGGGATGAGGGGTTGCCTTTGATGTTGTTCGCTGTGCGGGAAACTATACAGGAGTCGTTAGGCTTCAGTCCAGCCGAGTTGGTTTTTGGCCACACTGTGCGCGGTCCTTTGCGCCTATTGCGGGAGCAGTGGTTCTCCAACCAGTCCGGTGGTAAAAACATTTTGGACTATGTCAGTTCGTTTCGGGAGAGATTACATCAGGCATGTGAAATGGCCCGTGAGTCTCTCTCTTCTGCCCAGTCCAAAATGAAGCAAAATTTCGACAAGAAATCTGTGGCGCGTTCATTTCAGCCAGGCGACCGTGTCTTGGTTCTGTTACCTGTTGTTGGTTCTGGACTGCAGGCGAAATTTTCCGGCCCGTATGTAATTGACCGCAAAATTAGCTAAACCGATTATGTGATCCAAACCCCTGATCGAAAAAAGAAAACTCGTGTGTGCCACATCAACATGCTTAAACAGTATGTTGATCGCGTGACTAGTGATTCGTCCCCGGTAGTTTCTGCGGTTGCCTCCGTTGCCGTCTCCAGACCCGCTTATGATCCTAAGGATGATGGGCTGGATGACACTTCTGTTCTGTGCTTCTGTTTCGTGTGCTCGCCTCTGTAACTCCGAGATTCTATCTGACTTAGATGTCTCTCTGGCACACCTGTGTGATTCGGCCCGGGGTGACATTTGTACGCTCATCCAAAACTTTCGAACACTCTTCAGTGACATTCCCACTCAAACACATGTACTGTCCCATGATATTGATGTAGGTAGTCACAAACCCATAAAACAGCACGCCTATTGTGTCCATCCAATCAAACGTGCTGTTATGCAAAAGGAGATAAGGTACCTTCTGGAACATGGTTTTGCTGTTCCCAGTGGTAGTCCCTGGAGTTTGCCGTCGTTACTGGTACCAAAATCTGATCAGACCCCCCCGTTTCTGCAATGATTAACGTAAACTGAACAGTATCACCAAACCAGACTTGCTCCTGCGCATGGACGATTTGGTTGACCGTGTGGGCTCGGCCAAATTTGTCACTAAATTGGACCTCCTTAAAGGGTATTGGCAAGTTCCACTTACACCCCGTGCTTCTGAAATTAGCGCTTTTGTCACCCCGGATCATTTCTTACAGTACACCGTCATGCCGTTTGGATTAAGAAACGCGCCTGCCACTTTCCAGCGGCTGATGAACACAGTGCTGTGCGGCGTTCAAAATTGTGATGTGTATTTGGATGACATAGTAGTCTATTCATCCACCTGGGTTGAACATTTGGAAACCCTCCGTGACGTTTTCACCCGTTTGCGTAACGCTTCCCTCACCCTCAACTTGGCCAAATGTGAGTTTGGGAAGGCTGTCGTCACGTATTTGGGTAAGCAAGTGGGACAGGGTTGCGTTAGCCCTGTCTCCGCCAAAGTGCAGGCCATTCTGAATTTCCCAGCTCCCCAAACGCGCCGTGAACTCCGCCGTTTTTTAGGGATGGCTGGGTACTATCGGGCATTTTGCAAAAACTTTGCTGAAGTGACAGCTCCGTTGACGAGCTTAGTGAGTCCTAAACACCTGTTCAAGTGGTCGGAGGAATGCCAGTCTGCTTTTGAGGCCGCCAAAGCTCTCCTCTGCAGTGTCCCTGTGCTCGCTGCTCCCAACTTTGTGCATCCGTTCAAGTTGGAAGTTGATGCCAGTGCGTGTGGAGCGGGCGCAGTGCTCCTGCAGGAGGATGACCGTGGCATCGACCATCCTGTAGCCTATTTCTCTAAAAAGTTCAACAAACACCAGCTCCACTATAGTACCATCGAGAAAGAGGCCCTGGCTTTGTTGTTGGCTCTACACCATTTTTCAGTGTATGTTAGTTCCAGCCCAGTGCCCACTGTCGTATTCTCCGACCACAACCCACTCGTGTTCCTGTCTCGGATGCAGAATAACAATCAACGCCTTATGCGTTGGTCCCTATTACTGCAGGACTTTGATGTTGAAATTCGTTATAAAAAGGGTTTAGAAAATGTTATGGCTGATGCGTTGTCTCGTTTGTAGACTCATTCCTAAAATCAAACATGTTCTGTAGGGGGAAAATGTTTGATTTTCTTTGGGTGGGGAGGTGTTATGACTGTGGTCATTTACTTGGTTGTTTATGTTGTCTGTACTGACAGCTCTCTCTCTCCTCCCCTATTCTGCAGTAGCAATCAGCCTGTCTGTGTGTGTGCGATGAGCTGCAGGAGGTGTGATTCCCCAGTCAACCACGTGA